TAGGTTGCACCACTGAGGGATGACTCTTAGTTCTGGATTGGATCCAACGGGGCTTAGGCTTATAGCCTGAGAAATGTGTGGCAGATTATTTGTTTTTCTTGGTACCCAGAAAATTATTGGTGTTCATGTTGTAATCTGTTTTAAGTGAAAAATGTCATTTATCATGTTCTTGCGAGACATGAGTATTTTAACTGTTGAACTGTGGAACCTTCTTTTTAAAACAGATTGTATTTACCAAATTGTACGTCAATCTAGTTTCTATGATATATATCTTATTTTGGAATTGAGCCATATTTTCAAAACTGTATTTACTATCCATGTTGCTACTCACTAAGCTATCAGTTGACTTAGTTTTTATCACTTCCAAGTGTTAGAAGGACTTAGGGTGGACTCATGGCGTAGCTGAGATTCGATTGCATGGACCTCTAGGACATACATTTATTTTGTTTTAGATTGTTATGTCAAATTTGTGCATACTTTTTTTTTTTTTTTCGAGGTTCATTTAGGATTATTTTGATATGTGGGCTATTTATATCCCATAAGTTTGGATGGTATTGATTACGGTTGGTTTTGCCGTTTATACTATGGCATGTCACTGGATTGAGTTTGGTTATTTATTACTGGACTTTTGTATAGTTGCTCAATGTGATTATGGATTAGTGGTTAGACTTACGTGTGCCTTGGGCTGAGTCCCTGTGGGCCACGGCCGGTCATACCCGGATTTGGGGTGTGACAATGTTTCTTTGTTGAAGAGTTTGTTGATATGTTTTGATTGATATGCAATAACTGTATTTCTTGTTCAGTTGGGGTTAAAGCACTTTGGTCAACCTGCATTGGAACAATGTGGCATATATCAGTAATACTGTAAAATTGGTTAGTTTCATAACATGATTTGTACTGTGAGTAATGTGAGTTAAGTGTTGAAAATATGTTGTTTGAAACTGCAAACTTTTATAGTTTCATAACATGATTGTTAGTGTAATAAAGGTGAAAGGATTGTTGAATCGATTTATGCGTTGAAACTGCAAACTTTTGCAGTTTCATAATATGAGTGATAGAAAAGTTAAATAGGTGTGTGCTTTGAAACTGCAAACTTTTACAGTTTCATAACATGATTTGTACTGTGAGTACTGTGAGTTAAGTTTTGAAAATATGTTGTTTGAAACTGTAAATTTTTACAGTTTCATAATATGATTGTTACTACAATGACTGTGAAAGGAGTGTTGAATAGATTTGTGCTATGAAAGTATAGAAGAGTTTGAATACTTTTTCAAAGTTAACAAGGCTGATGTATTTTCACTTGGAGTACATTTTGCCAAGGTTCCACTTCATAAACCTTGGGAAGCCTTCTTTGTTGGATGGTCAGAGGAGTTTATTGTGCTCACAGTACCAGTACAGTAAAAAAAATTGAAATATGTTAGATGGTTTAAAATAGTTGGGTGTTTGATATTTTTGTGTGAAGTAATTGAGTAGTGTGTTTACCAAGAGTAACATGATGTATCCAGTGACATGCCTTGGGTTGTTGTTTGCATTTGCTATTGAATTCATTAGCGTGTCTTTTATTGTCTCAACCTAATTGTACTTCTTGATGCTGTTGAGATTGTCAACATAGTTGAGGAAACTCTAACTGAGTGTATGGCTTGTTGTAGGCATGAGACGTTTCAGGTACAAGTAAAGGGTGATGACCCTTGCAAGATCTTAACGATCATTGGTTGATTTTCCTTTTTTTGTTTATTGAAACATTTTGGTCAACGACTTGGCATCCAATCTCTTTACTAATTTGCATCTTCGTTTGTAAATGCGAGCTTAAAATCCTTTGGTCTTGTATAGGATTTGGTGGTGATGCTGTCTTCTCCACAGTTGATATAAAAAATGAGCCTCACATTATTATTTCTAAGTTTCATTTCCTTTTTGCTATGCTATAATGGAATTGTAACATTTGCACTAAGAGGCCTTCAGTTGTGTTGAGGAAAGAGCATTTATAATGGGCCAAAAAAGGTTTTTTTGCAGCTTTATCTGTTGGGCTGTTGTGAATTTGACCCCCTTCAACAGCTTGACTACCGTTCCGATGTTGGAACGGTAATTAAACTGTTGGACTCTCTTTGCAGGGACTGCTGCTTTTTTTCCTTTTGATGCCTTGGTTTTTGTTTCGGGAGTTGATTGGCTTTCTTGGAGCTTTCTTTTTTTGGTTGGTTCTTGTTTTTTTTTTGGCTTTCTTTTGTTTGTTTTTGTTGTGGTTGGAGGTGTGGTTGGTGTTTGCTGTGAGGGTATGGTCTGTGGTGTAGTTCTTGAGCTTTTTCTTGTAGGTAGTGTGGTTGTTTTGTGGGTTTTTTTGGTTATGGTGGTTGGATTTTTTGTGGATGGGGAAATGGTGGCATTTTAGTGGATATAGGTGAAGGACTGTTAAAATGAGAGATACTCAAATCCCTGATTGGAGTTTTGGGCATATTGGTTTGTTTCTTCCAATATCTTCCAACAGCTATTTCTGAAAAAATGAAAGCAACAGCAGGACATTAGTAATATAGTGACAAAATTGTGTAATTTTGCAGTTTTATATGCAGTTTAATATAAAGTTATATCTATTTGTTGTTAATAGTTACAAAACTATATAATTTGACAGTTTGATTTGCACTTTATAATAAGTTACCTATTTGTTTTGAATAGTGATTAAATTGTGTAATTTTACAGTTTTATTTGCAGTTTGAATAAATTTAGATATGTTACTTGTAGAGTGATGAAACTGTCCGATGTTGCAGTTTTATAAACACTATCAACAATAAGAACAACCCATTGTATTTTGTAAACAACAACAATAACAACAAGAAGATTAAGTATTCAACGAAATGTAGCAACAATATGAAGAAAAAAAGTCAATATTTAACAATAAGAAGAAGCAACAACAACAAGAATGAGAACAAGAAGTTGAATGTGTAAAAATAAGGATTTATATGTAAAAACGGGGGATTAGAATGTTTTAAAACAGGGGATTATATATAAAGTAGGATTTATACATTTTGAAGTATGTAAAATGTGTTTTACAAGGTTTTTTTTTTTTTTTTTTATGAAAGTGTTATTGAAACGGTATAATATATACAAAATATCAAAGAATAATGTACAAATTTGAATGAAAAATAATAGGCGAAGTGAGATGTTACTTTTTTTCCCCATTTCTGTGAATCCGAAGTCAGGAACTATAAAATTTCTTTAGAGTCATGATGGTTCTTCGTGTTGGTGAGAGTCACCGATTAGAGAAGATGGACGGCTTTGTATTGTGTTGGTGAGAGTCGACAATTGGAGAAGATGAACGAGTTCGTTTTGTGGTTAGGGTAGGGTTTTAGAGGTAGTGGAGTTGAACGGTGGAGAGATGGAGGATTGAGAATGCAGAGTCGAGCGGTGGAGATGTGACAGTGTACTGATCAAACTGGTGTGAAATGATCATGGGTGAAGGTTGCGCGCTGTAAACTGGATGATATGTGTCGGTGTTTTCGTCTGATTGATAATTTGAGGACTTAATGGAGTATTAAATTTGTTTTGGGGCTAAATGAGGTATAATATGTTGGGCTTGGACCTTTGGGTTAGTTCCCCTAAAATGAAATATGTTCATCTCTCTATGCAATATAGATCATATGGTGCCATAACTTTGATAAGATCAAGATTAATACTCGTCTTAAAATATTAATTCCTTATTCAATTTTTCATTATTTCAAAATATTAGTCATTTTTCAAAAATTAAAAACTAAAATAATATGAATTTTCTATTTTGCTTTTCTTTTAAATTCATTTACAATATAAAAAGTACAATTATGACAATCGATTTTCCTAAAAAAAATACTATCAACGGATAATTTTGAAAAATTAATATTTTTAAAATGCAATAATTGTGTTACCAAAAAAATTTAAATTCTCTAAAATAGACTATTATTTTGACATGAATGGAGTAACTTTTTTTTGCATTCATTTGTGATATATTTTAGGTGAGCATTGTTTGAGATAAATTAAAAAAGTAAAAAAATTACTAAAAAGTTAAAAAAATCTATACTATTCAAGGGTAGCTTGTGGGAGAAGCCATAATTTTACCCTTTAAATTCAATTATTCAAAAGTCAAAAGGATAAAATAGTCATTTTGATTTTACTATAATATTTTATTACACATCTTTTTATAAAAAGTGAAAAAATTATCCTAAACATATATCTTTTTTCTCTATATTTTTAACTAAAAAAAAATCGAAAAATACATTTATATAATACATCCCAAACATCTAATAATATTTTCTTTCTTTAAAAGTTTAACTAGTTGCAACAATACGCATCAAATTTATACCCAACAATAAAAAATTCATATTAATTAATTAGTGACGTGTTACAACATCACGCATCAAATTCATTCAACAATAATGAAAAACCCAATGGTTTAGCCATCATATGTATCTCATCTCATTATGGTTAGGGCACTTGTTTCTGTAAAATCCAGCACAACTCAAACGGAGTCCTTCAAATTTATTTATTTAAGGGTAATATTAAAGATCTTAATTTCATCTCATTATGGTTAGGGCACTTGTTTCTGTAAAATCCAGCACAACTCAAATAGAGTCCTTCAAATTTATTTATTTAAGGGTAATATTAAAGATCTTAATTTTTTTAATAAATAAATTATTAAATATTTTACATGTGGATCCACACTTTTATAAATCACATCCTAAAAAATATTTGATCATTTATTTAATAAAAAAATTAAAAGTTATAATATTTTCTTTTATTTAATAAAAAATTGTAAATTGTACCAAATTATGAAGTTGCCTGCACACCATAATCCACAAACTATAAGAAAAGATTGATAGAGCGAGAGAGAGAGAGAGAGAGAGCCATAAAATGCTACTGCAGCACCATCTCTACTCTTTACAATCTCCCCACGGGCTACCGGGTCACACACCACAACCCGGACCCGATCATTGTACCACTTCTTATTACCCCTCTCTTCCTCCTCCAACTGCAAGAACAAGAACAAGAAGGACCCATACCCCCACCAGACCCAGTAGTGTGTTTCCCTATAAATGGCACTTGTCTCCTCCGATCTCTTTCGTCTTCCTCGAAAATACACATGCCCGAACCAGCACCGGAGCAGGAGGGAGAAGAAAGAGAAGAACCATAGAGAGAGAGAGTGAGTCTCCTTCTTCTGGGTTCCGCCATTGTTGGCTAACCAATTCGAACATCAAGATGGCGCTGATAATGGTGGACAATTACATCATCGGGACTTTCTTTGCTTCTCTGCTAGGGTTTGTTCTTCTCTACATTTTACGCCGCAACGCCACGACGAAGGGTAACAAGAGACGCAGAGCGGGCAGTGGATTATTTGATGATGAGATCCCAAATGATTGTGTTCGGAGCTCCGCCAACGGAGAGGCCCGACCCGAAGGAGGACCCGATGTTGACGTCATCATTGTCGGAGCAGGCGTCGCCGGTGCTGCCCTCGCTCACACCCTCGGCAAGGTGAGATCTTCTCGTTTCTGTTTGTTTCCTGGGAAAAGGAAAAAAAATGTCATGCATTTTTTTTTACCACGGAACAAGATTTTCCAGGGAATAGTTTGTTTTCACGGAAAGAAGTCATTGGATGCATTTGATAGTTAGCAGACCGTATTGTAATTGTTTGTTGTTCACATACGTCTGTCTTGATTAGTAGATTAATTAACATTGTTTTGGACTTTTTAGCTGGGAGTTGTTAACATATAAAATGAATTCTAGGCAGTAAAATGGCTCGTCTCTTGTTGAAATTTCACAAAATGTACTTAAAAGTAATTGGCCCATAGATCCTCGATCTATCTATATGAAGAAGAAATCATGTAACAAGGGGATTCTTATTTGTACAAATGGCACTTCGAATTTGGAACAAGCATGAAGAAATTAATGATACTTCTTTATCTTTTGAGTTGTTCTGCCCGATCAGTCACTCAAGATCTTTGGTCTCTACCCGGACCCAATGAAAAAAATGGGATCACTTCTTATGGACTCGTGCAGACAGTTGAGGTCTTTGACCAATAAGAGTTATTAAACGGAACACTCTTATTGGAAGAATATTTGAAAAAATTCAACTGAGCCATATATTCATAAACTCTTATCTGTAAGAGTCTTTTATTTAATATTTCTTATCTATCAGAGACCTTAGTTGTTGGGTTCAGTTCAACTTTCAACCGGAGACAAGTCGAATCTTAGCTTAATCACTAGTATAAAGCAAGCCGGATTAGTTCAGTTTTGTTTCACTGGTTTAGAGATCTGTGAGCACTCAATCAACTTCAGTATTATGTGCCTATATATGCTACATTTCTATTTTAGCTAATCACTTTTTAACACACGCTTCAACAAGCCTCTCTGCTTTAGCTATCTTTGTTTAAAATATTATTTCTTTCATTCTTTTACTTTTTTCAAATACAATTATATTAGGTATGACGGTGATACTACATGGCAGTTTCACTACCGAATGGGAGCACAAATATTACGGTAGTGGAAATACATAGTCAGGTTAGCAAGAAATAAAAATTGTCCACCGAATTTCATTTATAATATTTTATTAAATATTTATTTATTTTAAAAGTGTTGTTACAAGTATATAATGAAAATAATTTAATATTACCTGTTGGGTCTGCAGTGATTTGCTAGGAGTAGCAAGATACTGTGGCATTTTTCTAAAATGACCAGCTTTGCTCGAGGCTGCTGGAGCAGCGTTTTTGGTACTTTGGCTTTGTAAAATAGCAAACTGTAATTGATGAGGTTGCTGCAGATGCTCTTGTCATGATCAAATCATTATTTCTTTTTTCCAATTTTTGCCTGCAGCTCTCTCTCTCTCTCTCTCCTGCAAAGCACACAATAGTATTCAAGACGGGAAAGACTTGCGTGTAATTTTTGTTTTTTGTGCTGCAAAATCCTTCAACTGCAAACTTGTTATGCTGTTTGTTGCAGGATGGAAGGCGAGTTCATGTAATTGAAAGAGATTTGACAGAGCCTAACAGAATTATTGGTGAACTGTTGCAGCCAGGAGGATACCTAAAACTAGTCGAATTGGGCATTGAGGGTACGCATGCATGATATGATTAGCATTTTGTAATAGCCTTCTATGAGTCGATGACATTTAGGTTCATTGACGAGCCTTACTTTGGTACAAACTCTTTGTCTGATCAAAACTACTTGGCAGCTTTGTTCATGCATGGTTTGTTTTTGTTGTGAAAGCTAAAATATATGCACTTTGGACTGCAGATTGTGTGGAGGAAATTGATGCCCAGAGGGTGCTTGGATATGCTCTTTTCAAAGATGGGAGAAATACTAAATTGTCATATCCATTGGAAAAGTTTCATTTGGATGTGGCTGCGAGAAGCTTCCACAATGGGCGGTTCGTACGGAGGATGAGACAAAAAGCTGTTACTCTTCCGAAGTATACTCTCTTGTCCATTGTTGTCTATTTGGTTAACTAATTGATTTTGAACTCTGTAATTGCTTTATTGTAAAATCGGCTAGATAAAACCAGAGGAACTGCTGTTGCTTTCTTTGAGTTTGGTTTTATATCCTTATTTTCCTATTTGAATTTTGGGAGTCAACTTAATTTTGTTGTGAAATTGTGCACGCCAGTAATTAATATTTGTTACAATTAATCTTCCTAATCTTCTTTCCTAAGAGCAATGCTTCAGAGGCTTGTTACCTATAGTCCATACTACCCAACATGGCCATATATAGACATATATTCCCTCTTATTTCAAACAAAATGAGCAAGCTTCATCACATTAAATTAATTAATGTTCAAAGTACCCTGTCCACATCAACTTGTTTTCTCTTAGAAAGTATTAGTGACAAATCACATTCTTTCCTGAATGTTATTTCTGATTTTGTGCTCCAATGCAAGTTTCTCTTTTTTTTTTTTTTTTTTTTGGAAGAGATGTTTTTTTTGGGTGGGGGGTGTGGAATTATTTGTATCCAATGTCCAAACTTTGGCTTTCCTTAAATTTTCTATAATTTCTTCCAAACAATCATTGACCATTTTTAATTTTATTAATTTTTTAGATTTTCCAGAATTTCAAGCATAAAATATTAGCTTTCGATATTTATTCCTTGATAATTGCGTGTGCCTAGTCTGTTGCACAGTAATTTAATTTTTTACATTTGTTGTGTGTAGTGATTACTGATTGGTAAATTTTAAACAATCCAGTGGATGCATTTAGTGGTATTTCTTTACTTGGTTATGATTCCATCCCCCCATTTTGTTTTTGATTTGTCATCCAGTGTACAACTAGACCAAGGAACTGTAACATCACTACTTGAAGAAAACGGAATTATTAAGGGGGTTCAGTACAAAACTAAAAATGGTCAAGGACTTAAAGCATTTGCTCCTCTTACAATTGTTTGTGATGGATGCTTCTCAAATTTGCGCCGCTCTCTATGCAACCCTATGGTAAATTTCTGCAATTTTTTACCTGGTTCATTATTATGCTCCTTCTGATTGACTAATTTACTGAACATCCACTTATATTCCTGTAGTCAATCAAATTCTATATTCCTTAGGCTTTGATTATGTTTACCCACAAGTCAAATACTTCTTGCTTTACACATTGGGGGATAATATTGTGTCATTCTTATCTTACAGGTAGATGTGCCCTCTTGCTTTGTAGGCTTGGTCTTGGAGAACTGTGAGCTTCCATTTCCAAATTATGGGCATGTTATTTTAGCGGACCCCTCACCCATCTTATTTTATCCAGTAAGTAGTACAGAGATTCGTTGTTTGGTTGATATACCTGGTCAAAAGATCCCTTCCATTGCTAATGGTGAATTGGCAAACTATTTGAAAACTGTGGTGGCTCCCCAGGTACCTAAAGCTTTTGTTATATGATTCTGATATTTGACATATCAATATAACTGCACTGTTGCTGAGAGTAGTTACTTCCCAGCTTTTTGCTTCTCATTTCACTCTCACAAGCAGATTTTAACAAGAACATGTTTTGTATGCTTCCAACAATTACCTTGGATCAATCAATGCAATGTTTCAGGTTCCACCTGAGCTGCATGATTCATTTATAGCTGCAATTGATAAGGGAAGTATTAGAACAATGCCCAATAGAAGTATGCCAGCTGCTCCTTACCCTACTCCTGGAGCACTATTAATAGGTGATGCTTTCAACATGCGTCATCCTTTAACTGGTGGAGGAATGACTGTGGCACTCTCTGATATTGTCGTTCTAAGGGATCTCCTTAAGCCTCTGCGTGACCTGAACAATTCGGCTTCATTGTGCAGATATCTTGAATCCTTTTACACCTTACGAAAAGTAAGCTAGGCTCAAATCCTTGGATTTGGTGTCATTCACATTAAAGATTAGAAGGCTTGGATATGAACTGCTTTATTTCAGTTGTTTGATGTAAACCTGATTTAGTGAAAAGAACAAATCGTAATCATAAAATTCTTTAACTGGTTAATTCAAGGTTACAAAATTTTAAATAACAAAGTTTGTGTACGCCATGAAGAATTCCTAAAGCTAATAAAAAAAGATAAAAAAATCTGTAAAATGATTTCAATAGTCGTGTGCATGCCATGACCCCCTCCCAAAATATAAGTTTAGATAAAATAAATAAATGAAACAAAAATCCAATCACAATTTGTGGGGGAAAAGAATTTGGAAATCTTAAATTGCTTTTATTATGATATTACGTTTTACGTGTTCAATCTAACTATTGAAGTTCTAAGGTACTAATGTTCTTTTTCGCTCTTTGTTGACTATGGTGTCTTCTTTGGTTTTTTGGCAGCCTGTGGCATCTACGATAAATACTTTGGCTGGAGCCCTGTATAAGGTGTTTTGTGCATCTCCTGATCAAGCAAGGAAGGAAATGCGTGAAGCATGTTTTGATTATTTGAGCCTTGGAGGTGTGTGTTCAACAGGACCAGTGGCTTTACTCTCTGGTCTAAATCCTAGCCCATTGAGCTTGGTACTCCATTTCTTTGCTATAGCCATATATGGTGTTGGCCGTCTCTTGTTACCATTTCCTTCCCCTAAGTGCCTGTGGATAGCAGCTAGATTATTTTTGGTACGTTGTGCTCTCTTCCAATTATAGGACGCATATTATGCAGTACGAGTGTTGGGTGCCATGTGTCTAAATGTTAGATTCGTCTAATTCTTGTCCAAGGACTTAGGGCACGGCTAGATTTCATATTTGGTAACTAATTATTTTATTTTTTTAGGGTAAAATGGTGTTCACAAACTAACATAAAGTATTTTCTGCAAAAAAAAAAAAAAAAAAAAAAGAAAGAGAGAAAAGAAGAAGAATTTTAATAGATGTGTGAGGTTTTACTTATTAATGATTGCATGTCCAGCTAGACATGCTGGACATATATCCCATAGTCTATAGCTGTCAATATTATTTGGTTAGTATTTTAAAGTTAGATTTCTTTCATTTTGGAGCAAGTATCTCCAAAATCCTAACCAAAAACAATTCTAAAAAATGCAAGAAAAAAATTGTAAAGGAAAAAACTCTCTGTATATCGAGTATAACTTTCATGAACAATTCTTCAGTGGAGAAGTAAGAGGGGAAAAAAGGCTTTCTATGCATTGAAAATAACTTATATTGACAAATCTTTTCCAGGGTGCATCGGCTATCATTTTTCCCATCATAAAGGCTGAAGGAGTCAGGCAAATGTTCTTCCCTGCAACTGTCCCGGCATATCATAGAGCTCCTCCTGTTGAATGAAGTATTAATAGAATTCAGTGAGACAAAAGTCAAGGTAGCTTTATGTCACGTATCGACTCATTGGGGATTTGAGTTCTACACCAAGTACCTTGCAAGCACATTAGTTTGTGAGCGGTAAGACAGGCAGGGTAGATCTCTATCGCATCACCTGAGTTAGTCTTTGGGCATAATGCACGGAAGTACACAATACCATTCATGGAGCCGGCTTCTCGGGAAGATCTTAAGCACCCAATCCATGACAAGTGGTATCAGAGCCAGCCTAGGGGTCCTGTGATGGGGATGGTATGTAGGACTTACACAAAGCACCTTTATTGTGGGGTCCGCACCAAGGGTGGTGTCTGCACGGGGCGGGTTCCCATGGGTAGGGGAACGGACAAGTTTGAGGCAGGCAGGGTAATGTCCCTTGACGAGGGCGTTAGGGATTGACGATGGTAGCATGTCACGTATCGATTCATTGGGGATTCGAGTTCTACACCAAGCACCTTGTAAGAGCATTAGTTTGTGAGCGGCAAGACTGGTTCCTATCGCATCACCAGGGTTGGTCTTTGGGCATAATGCATGGGGTACACAATACCACTTGTGGAGCCGGCTTCTCGGGAGGATGACAAGCGCCCAGTCCGTGACATTTAGCTTGAAGGCATTCTGGCTTTTACCTTTAACTACCTTCCTTGTTGAAGTTGATGGAAAAGATGTCTGCTTATTGGCCATATTCTTTGATTTTTGAGACTACTCGAAACTGAAGTTGAAATCTAGGAATGAAAATTTCAACTGCAAAAATGTATTTGTGCCAACTCCTCTATGTATCTCTTAAATGAAATAAATCTCATTTCTTTATGTTAGTAATATTAATAATGGTCTATTTTCATTCAGATCCATGTCAAGAATTATGCGTGTCATTGCTCTTGTGAGTGCTCACTCATGAATGCCTTGAGATAGTTAAATTAAAATCAATAACACCCAGATATGTGAGAATGTTATGCTTGGTTGGAACCGTGTTCTTTCCCTGCAGCCAAACTTGCATGCATCAAGAAACTGCTGCTCCTTCAAATTTTATTTGCATTTTCATCCAAATGAAATTATTATCATTCAAACATGTGTTGCTGTCATATTTACTTAGAATTATGCTTTTTCTTAGTAGCCAAACGTGTATAGATCAAGAAATCTGAAAATGCAAATAAATTTAAAATCATATTATCATTACAAAAAGAGAGAAAAAAAAAAAGAGGCAAATCTTAAAATGATATGCCCTCCTATAAACTGTAAATTGTTCTGAGCCTTGTACTTTTCCTTGGAAGGTTATGAACAGTATCAGTATAAATTCGATATTCTATGTATTCAACTTGTTATCAACTATCTTCCTCTGTAATAAATAGTCTATCCATCACTGAAGTAGTAATTTCTAAATCAGAATCAAGTAGGCTTACTAATGATCTGTCTCATCATAAATTTCCTCCTGCAAAAGAGAAACCAAAACACAACGGAAGCATAATTTTTTTTTTGAGAAAATAAAAGTTGATCACGAAACGCTAATAAAATTAGTCCTCATACTTTTAAGAGCTCCTCGATGACATCTTCCATAGTTATTATGCCAATGACTTCCCCATCTTTAGTGGGCGTTGAGAGCGAATTGTCATTTATCTGCCGGACCTCCAGGTGATAATGATCTGATCACCTCCTACTACTTGAGTTCACTCTGTTTGAGTTTCCTGGCTGGTTCTTCAGATTTTTAAGCGATCTCTTGGTTTTCAATATTTTCTTGTGATAAAACCTATCACTGTGAATATCTACTCTCACTTCCCTCATTGAATCTGTATGTGGCTCAAAAGATGAAATTATATATCAAAGAAATAATCAAAATTAAAGAAACCACAAAAAGAGTACACAAAAGCCATTTTACCAAGAGAACTCAGTACTGACCATTGGCTGTGTGTCTGCTAGCTCGTTGCTCCACTGTGTTACTGTCTTGTTTCACAACAGCAGCCATATGGCTGACACCTTTCTGAAACTCGTTCAGTATGTCGTACAAGGGCATTGTCTCTGAAACCCTTGTAGAAGGTCCATCAACAAACATATTGGTTCTTAGATTGCATAACATGCTTTAGTGGCTAGTTGTTGGATGGAACAGACAAAAGAAATAATAGAGTTTACCTAAATCACTTATGGTTCCAAATTTATAGTCTAGTTTTGTCTTCTCACCCCCAAAAATTAAAACAGATACTCAAGAAAACAAAATCATAGAGCAAAAAAGAACACCATTGTTTCTTGTAAGCAACAAAAAAAATAAAAATAAATACAAAATCAGATATTTAAGAACCAATTCAACTGTCAAGATTGTTTATTTGATTGATGCTCTTATTTTGGTAATGTTGGTAGCATTGAAGTCATAATTACCTTGGAATCTGGCGAACAATGATATTCTTCACAGGTACGTCATTTGCTGGGTTGTAGGTCAATAAATTCTTCACCTGCAATTTACAAGTAAAATACTAGAGAAATGAGTAACAAATATATATGGGTAAAATGATATATAAATCATAAAGAAAAGATAGAAGTACATAACTAGGAAATGAAGAACTATCGAGCTCGTATAAATCAACAAGGAATTACCAGAATAAGTCCAATGATGTTACTTGGCTGCTCATAATATACCGGCACTCTGCTATGTCCCTTCTCGATGATCAAATGTATCAAATCCCTGTGTGCTTACCAATAAGTGGTGCCTGTCATTAACTCAGTGAGATCAAAAAACAAAAAAAAAATGTGTTCTTCTTTGAGACGATACACCATACCTGTCAAGTTTGGCGTTGATATCAATTGCGAAAGTTTCAGATAAAGGAGTCATTGCATCCCTAGCTGTTTTCTCAGTGAGCTCGAGAGCTCCTGCGATGATTGTCGTCTCTTCAATTGACAAATCTCCACCTCTTCCAGCCTGTGTTACAAACCGACATGAAGAGAATGATTCAATTAGATGCATATAAAGTAAAATGTATGAAAACGAAAAGATTAAATGATTCCCAGGAGGAACTATATATGTGAGTTTTAGGATCACAGAAATGCATACCTCAGTACTGTGAAAGTCAACTAGTGTTTTCAACTCAGCTCGGCGGTAAAGAGGTTCATGCCCATTTCCCAACAAAAAATCTAGGAGCTGGTAAGACAAACCAATAATTAAGAATTTGATTTTGTGAAAATGGTAGAAGTGTGTATAGTATACTATATTGCTAAAGAACTAAGAAAATAAGATGATATTGATCCTAGAAGTATCACCTTGCTTATGGGATATGCCACGGGAAAGCAAATCCAAACAAGTACACGAACCATTGGAGCCACGGATGCACCAATCACCAAACCGTATCGGGTACAAATAGACTGTGGTATAATCTGTATGGAAAATAAGTGAAGTTAACAATTTGTTTTGGTTACAGTGCGGGCCAAATTCAAAGTACCGACAAATACCCCATGAAGGAATGATACTTACCTCACCAAACAGAAGTATCAACGTCACTGAAATAAGAATAGCACCCAAATCTGGGACCAAACTATCAAGAAGAACAGGGAGGGCCTGGAAAACGACACACTTCATGTTAGATACTTGGTTATGCCTATTTGCCACCAGAGCTGTTTGCATGTTCCTAATAATAGTGTTTACCTCCATAGCAGCCGCGTTGGAGATTAAAAGGGTGCAAAGCAATAAATGTTGTCTCTTCACAACTGGCAAGATCTTTGCTGTTTTGAGAAAGAAAATCTGTAAATATTCACATTGTGTGCAACTAATAGTGCTCTAATATGCGAGTAAGTAAAAATTCACATGCATTGCAACATAACGATGAGATGCCCTGATCTTACCCATTGACATGACCTGAAAATCAATCATGTCCTAATCCAAATTACATCTACTTATGCCCCTTAATTGGTGGTGGGTGTTGTACATTAATGTATGTTGGTATGCAACATTATGGAGGATCAAGTCTTTCATAAAACCTTGTGACACTTAATCAGGAATACATAGTTATCCAATTTTGTAGAGTCAAGCTCATTTTGAAGTTCTGCTCTGTTATTATCGTAGCGAAACTAATGTCAGTCAAGAATCAAAGATGCAAACTCAGCTACCTATATTCATATCAGCATTCCCAGATTATTTTCATATATATATGATTTCTAAATTCAAGAACATCAGTAAACAACAGTGAAATAAGGTCTCAATGGTTGGATTTGCTTTCAAACGACCAATAAATCAGCAAAGCAACTCACAAACAAACAGACACGGACACATTCAGGGACGATTGTAAAGTCAAAAGCCATATAATTTGAAAATATTCTTGACTAATACCGATAACAAGGATGATGGAAATTACAAGCATGGAGACGATCCTTGGGGGTTCCAGACTTGGCAAGAACTTCAAGATCGACAAGGCTCATTGACATGAGACCCAAGGTGAGTCCAGACATCAACCCAGCAAACAAAACCAACAATGTGATCAGTACAATATAAATGAAAAACTGTGACTCACAGCATTTGAAGTACTTTTTTGTAGGGTAAGTGTCCGTGTGATTGCCTCCTCCAGCCATGAGCAATCAAATCTCTTTTCTTCTTCTTCTTCTTTATTTGCACCTTGAAGTGATGTTTTGTAGTATATAGACAAACTGTCTCTGGGTATATAGGAAAAAGCCGAAGAAGCAAAATAATAAGAATTGGAAGAAGTGTGGCGAAAAACTCCACGTAACATTGAAGCACCGGAATAGAATTTCATTGTTTGGCAAGCGGGGAATATAATGGGATTCGATTTGTCATTGTGGGTCAGTTTCAAATTTGTTATAGAATTGTGTCGAATATTGTCTTCTTTTATTTTCTCATTTCTTGACTCAGTTATTCTTATTATATATGAGGGAAAGAAGAGAGTTGCGAGAAATCTGTTGGGAGACTTTCAAGTTGAAAGTGAAGGGGTTGAAAGAGAAAGGTCGGTTGGGGACGGAGAGTCCATGGTAGAATAACGGTTACAATGATGAACAAATGTGTCACATTGGGCTCCACATGCACCAAGGATCCTCGAGTGTTTTTTTCCTAAAGTTTCCTAAATTGGTGTATTGTGTGGTTGAGATTTAATACTGAAAAATTGATGTGACTTGTCATTAAATCTCAATCACACAATGCACCACTCTAGGAAACTTTAGGAAAAAAAAAACTCAAGAGGATCCTTGCTCCTCGACATGGCCCCTTTCGTATCTATTCCCTTCATATTTCAAGTTCATTATAAATTATTCATAAAAAAAAAGTTCACATTTTTTTATAATGATCATAATTATTTTTATCTTTATCTTTATCTTTATCTATAAAACAATCAAGGAAATGTGCAAGTCTGGATACAAATTATTTATTTATTTTTAACATTGAGTTAATAAGATCATCTCTCTATGAATATTGGATTAATTGATTATATATATAATTTATAAATTAAATAACTTATAAATAAATAGATTATTGAAATAGAATCCGTACACGCCCAATGGGCTATAGACTAGATGGCTCAATTTTCTTACAAACTGACTGTAGAGATTAATGAAATTTATATTAGATTATACAACAATGGTCAAGATATCTCATATCACGTAATAAACAAAATATCTATATTTTCTATAAAACATACGGCACATAAATCTCTCTATTTATATATTTACAAAAAAAAAGAGAAGTTATATAGCAAAGTGCATGAGATTTGAAATTCAAACTTTAGATTTAGAAAAGAAAGTTCTTATTACTTAAGCAATATATATTGTGATGTTAGTTTTTTTATTATTTATTTTTATTTTTATTTATTTAAATTACATGAGCATTACGTGTTAATCACTAATAATATAAAAAAAATACATGACACTTGTAATAAGAGTAATTCAGTAGTCTCAAAATACTGTACTATTGTTGACATTGTACTCTTGAGAGAGGTTGCTGTTGGCATCAAAATCGATAAATTTCCCAAAATACGTATAGCGATTCCGGTTTTTACTCGACCCATCTTGTATTCTGGACTCGGGTTTTATGATTTATGCATGTTGTTCATACTTTTTCCTCCTTATTCTTGCTTGAGTTTGGCTATTGGGTTGTAGTAGTTGTGTTTAGAACATGTTGATTGCTTGGTTTCAAACCTTGTGTTGTCTAGATTTTTGCTTTTTCACTCGAGCGACACTTTTTGTGCTTGAGTACACTTTGTAAACTCTCAGTACTTTTGCAGATCTGCAAAACTACTGGGAGGATGTATTCTACGCTCGAGCGGCGTTTTCTATGCTTGAGCGGGTGGATGCTTGAGCGACACTTTTTGTGCGCGAGTGTTGGTCTATTGTCTGCAAAACTACTGGATAAGTGTATTCTGTGCTCGAGCATCACTTCTTGAGCTCGAATAGTAATGCCCTTTTGTTTTATGTCTTGGCACTCGAGCGTCACTTTTTACGCTTGAGCGGAACAACTTATTATGTCTGACGCTCGAGCGTCAACTCTTGCGCTCGAGCGGACTGTGCATATATTAGTTTGCGAAAATGACTTTTTACATCACTTTTTCAGATCTATTTCTCTCCAAACCCTAAAGTTGAGACCCTCTCTCTCTAAAACCTACCCTCTCTCTACTTTTCATTTAGATCTAGTGATCTTTTCACCCTTGTACCCTTGTTAAAAGGGTAGAGCACGTTGTGGGCTCTCTTTTCATCCGAACAAAAGTGGGTTTGGGTGTCTTTGAAGTTTTTCCTTTACTTTGCTCGTCTTCTCATTTTGAGGCAAGGATTTTTCACAATTTTCTATGAGTTTTAACTTGGTTATTTGTTAATGGGTAAGATATGTTGAGACTTGTTGTGAATTTGAACAAACATAAGGTTTGGGTTAAAATTAAAAGAGGAATTTTTGAATTAACGTAATGGAAATGGTTATGGGAGTAGATATGAGCTTATGTTGTGTTAAAATGGTTGATTTTTGTGTTTGGCATGAGATTGGGAAAAAGGGAGTTTTGCCCTAAAATGTCTTAAATAATTATTTTGTATAAATAATGAAATTGGATGGGTGTTTATATAAAAGGTCGAATTAGATATGTATTATCTTGTATCTATGGCAATTTGGGCAATTTACCTGTTATAAAAATTGTATATCTGTTTAGAAATATCTGTTTTGGACCATCGGTGAAGGATAGCCAGGATTGTTGTCGAAATTGCATGTAGATTAGGCAAATTGAAACAAATCTCTTAGCTATTTTCATTGAATATAATTATGATTTATATATATTGTATATGTATGATGTTTAGGAGGAGAAATGAGATGTACTCCGTGTTTGGGAGGAGAAAGGGGATGGAATCTATTAAACTAAGGCTAAGTTTGGCATTTCATAAAATATCTAAAAAGTCAAAAAGTCACTATCTTATTTAAGTCACATCATCTTATTTAAGTCACATCACCTCTCTACCATATCACTTCAAACCCAACCCATATTTCATAAAAAGTAAAAAAGTGCATTTATTTAGAACAACCCAAACAACCCCTAAGTTGGCCTGTGTGTTTAAGGTGAAAGTCCCGAAAACCACACGTATACATGGGTGTCGATTCCCGCGGATGAAATTTTCGTAAAATAGCAAGTGAATGTACTTTATATGATAATTATGTTTGTTGGAGGCCTATAGGGTGTATCCTCTGTTTGGTTGACTAAATGAAGTGGGAATAAATAATGGATGGACATGTAAGTTTGATATAATATGGTGTTAGAAAAAGTTGTAAAATATCTGTCATTTGGGAATTGAGCATGTGCATCATACTTATACATTTGTTAATATTTATATATTGTGTTAGATTGTTTTTACTAGGCTTTGCCTCACTTTACTTGGAAAATCATTTTTAGGTGCTGGTAACATGTCTTCTCCAATGACTTAACTTGGGAGGATTAGGAAGCTGAAGGTTCTGTTTTGTCATTTTGTATTTAATATTTGTGCAAGCCTAGGACTTTATATGTATAGAGCTTAAGACTCTCTCTTTTGTTGTAATCAAGCATAGTTTTGAAAAAATGTAAATTTGCAGGGCATTTATTTTGTTGATCTTTAAGTTGGTATCACATGTTATAGATTCAAGATAGAACTTATGAATATATATCGCATGTGTCATTTTTTTGTAAATTAACTATGATTAATAAAAGGTTACTACTTTGTTTATGTCATTGTATATATGTTGTTGGGGCTGACTTATGGCATTTATTTTAAGGCGTTACAATACTAGTGGACAAACTTTTGATGAAGTGCTAAATATATTATTAAAAAAATGAAAAGAACAAATGCTCATCGTACAAGAGCCTTTTTTAGCATATAAAAGATACAAACTCTCAATGAATAAAATGAATATGAAGAAAAATGTCTTAGTACATAAAATAAATAATAAAAGCATGAATAAGTTCATAATACACTCTGATTTGATTTATACTAGTGTCGCAATTACTTCAAACTATAATATGGCATAACAAAACACCATTAAATCATAACCAAAGATCACTAAAGAAAAGATATAATCAAGTGTATATTAGAATTCTCCGCAACATCATTTCAAATAGATTTATGTATAAAAATTCCATGTATAAATTATTTTCTTAATTTTTTAAAGGAAAATTTATTAGAAAATCATCTTTCAAGTACTTGTATTTTAATTAGTCCATAAAATATTTTTATATTCTAATAAGTCTTATTATTTTAGGCATTTGATCCATTAAATCTTAATTCTCATATTTAAGATATTTTTATGAATAATTTTACCTTTACAAATATTTTTTGAACCCTTAGCAATTTGTTAATGTGAACGTTCACATTAAATAAATTTGATAGTGTAAATGTTTACATCATGGAACGTTCACATTGGCAATGTGAACATTAATGTGCACTTTACCTTATTATTATTAGGGGTATTTTAGTAATTATATCACTCATGTGATTTATTGAAATATAAAAAAATACTTAAAATAAGTGGAATATAAGCAGGTAGAGAGAAATTTATGAATAAATACCCATTTTTTAAAAATTATTTTTATTTTATAAATTGTAAACAAAAAGTATACCAAACATTAATTCACTAATACTTTCAAAAGTAAATAAATGAGCATCCTTATAAAGCCTATAGAATTGTTTGATAAAGGTTTGCCTTTGCCAACACAACTTTCAAGTGTTGCTCTCCTTAATTGTTTGACAACTGCTGATCAACACAAAAAAACAGTGATGCATTTTTGTCTTCAAGTCGTATATATTCTTTTATTATTATTATTTTGAAATTATTTAAGTAGTAAGAAAGTCCAAAAATTAGCAGGCAGCTGTTGAGTTGATTACTTAACAGAGGTGGGCAATTTAGACATGAAAGTGCACACTCCTGAGCATAGAATGAGATTTTTACTCAAATTTTATGGTACATAAAGTTAGCTTTATGGTAAAGCTAATTGGCAACAAGCAAGCATCTGATCTTTCCAATCTGCTCTCACTAGTGGCAAGATGGGAACATACTTGTGAGAATGAGGGATGATTATAACTGTTTTTTGTTTATTTTATTTTATTTTAAATTTGAAATAAAAGATATATTCACATGGATCTTTCAAATTTATGAATCAAAAAATAAACTTTTTATTTTATTATCTAATAGAGAGGATCTGATTCACAACCAAAAATCCTTTCAGATTCAAAAGTATAGTGAGTAACTAAAAGAAATGAAAAATAAATTAAGGGACCCTTCAGATGTGTTTGATTTGTGTTTTGAGATAAATTTTCAAAATAAATTTTGAAAAGAGAGTTTAGTATTTTTTTTTTGATTTGTTTAGTTGTATATTTTGAAAATAGTTTTGGAGTTTGGGATGATTTTATATTTTGTTGTAATTGAGTAAATATGTGTTAGAGAAAAAAATGATTGAGAAGGAGAAATGAGAGAGAAAAAGTGATTGATTGATGTGTAATAGAGAGAGAAGTAATTTTGAAATTTTTTGAGAAAATTTGTAACCAAACATGTTTTTAGAATTTTTTTTCCAAAAACATATTTCAAAACACAAACCAAACACACCCTTCATTTTATCATGGTGTTCACATTTGTGTGAACAAGACATTCTTGTGTGTTTGGTTTGGTTTTAGGAGATAAATTTTCAAATAAAATTTTGAAGAAAGAGTTTAGAGCTTTGTTTGATTTAACTCTCAAAACATAATTTTTGAAAAAAAAATTCAAAATTTTGTTTGGTTTTCCAAAATCACTTTATCTCTTATACACATCAATTAATCACTTTTTTTCTCTCATCTTTCCTTCTCAATCACTTTTATCTCACACACATCTATTCAACTACAAATATCAAATCATCCCAAACTCCCACACTCCAAAACTATTTCCAAAATATACAACAAACAAATCAAAAAAAATTCTAGATGTGTTTGGTTTGGTTTTGGGTGATAAATTTTCAAAAAAGATTTTGGGAAGAGAGTTTAATTTTTTTTTTAGTTTGTTTAGTTGTATGTTTTGGAAATAATTTTAGAGTATGGGAGTTTGAGATGATTTGATGTTTTGTTATAATTAAATAGATGTATGTGAGAAAAAAAAATAATTGAGGAGAGAGAAAAGGGAAAAAATGATTAATTGATGTATAGGAGAGAGAGTAATTTAAATTTTTTTTTTCTAAAATCACTAAATCAAACAAAATTTAATTTAATTTTTTTCTTCTAAACTTTATTTCTCAAAAGCAAGCCAGAAAAGGTCCTAAAATCGTTTCTCATCCAAGATCTCGGCTCGGCTTTGTTAAATTGAATATCTTGCATGAGATTAAGGAGTTGTTTGGGGTGTACTAAATAAGTGTATTTTTTATTTTTTTAGACTAAAAAATTGAGGGAAAAAATATGGATGTTTGGATTAATTTTTTGACTTTTTATGAAAAAATGTGTATTAAAAAATTGTATAAATTAGAGTGTAGACGTATCCGCGAGTATCCGAGGAGTATCGGTATCCGATAAGTATCCGATATGGATATGTCACCCTTTTTGAAGTATCCGTGCTTCATAGGTTTGATTTAACTCTCAAAACACAATTTTTGAAAAAAAAAATCAAAATTTTGTTTGGTTTTCCAAAATCACTTTATCTCTTATACACATCAATTAATCACTTTTTTTCTCTCATCTTTCCTTCTCAATCACTTTTATCTTACACACATCTATTCAACTATAACAAAATATCAAATCATCCCAAACTCCCATACTCCAAAACTATTTCCAAAATATACAACAAACAAATCAAAAAAAATTCTAGGATGTGTTTGGTTTGGTTTTGGGTGATAAATTTTCAAAAAAGATTTTGGGAAGAGAGTTTAATTTTTTTTTTTTAGTTTGTTTAGTTGTATGTTTTGGAAATAATCTTAGAGTATGGGAGTTTGAGATGATTTGATGTTTTGTTATAATTAAATAGATGTATGTGAGAAAAAAAATAATTGAGAAGAGAGGAAAGAGAAAAAATGATTAATTAATGTGTAGGAGAGAGAGTAATTTAAATTTTTTTTTTTTCTAAAATCACTAAATCAAACAAAATTTAATTTAATTTTTTTCTTCTAAACTTCATTTCTCAAAAGCAAGCCAGAAAAGTTCCTAAAATCGTTTCTCATCCAAGATCTCGGCTCGGCTTTGTTAAATTGAATATCTTGCATGAGATTAAGGAGTTGTTTGGGGTGTGTTAAATAAGTATATTTTTTATTTTTTTAAATTAAAAAATTGAGGAAAAAAATATGGATGTTTGGATTAATTTTTTGACTTTTTATGAAAAAATGTGTATTAAAAAATTGTATAAATTAGAGTGTAGGAAAAAATTAGAATTGAGAGTTGTGCAGCCGTAATTTTTGACTTTTGATGAATAGTGATAAATTTTTAACTTTTTGAGTAACTTTTCGACTTTTTAACTTTTTTCCAACTTGCCAAATTTAGCTTAAATTTGTGCCAACATTAACGACTAAAGCACACAACTCCCAAGTTTAAAAAAAAATTATGGGTATGTTTAGTTTGACTTTGTAGAGTGTTTTTAAAATTTTTTTAAAAAAAATCTTACTTGGTTTGTAATTTTTTTAAAATAATTTTTAAAATTACTTTCTCTCTCTACACATCAGTCAATCATTTTTTTCTCTCTTTTCTCTCTTTCTCATTTACTTTTTCTCTCATGCACATCTACTCAATTATAACAAAATATCAAATTATTTCAAACTCCAAAACTCCAAAACTATTTTCAAAATACACAACTAAACAAATCAAAAAAATTCTAAACACTCTCCTCAAAATATTTTTTAAAAACTACCATGTCAAAATCAAACCAAACATATGTATTTTTAGTGAGAGTGGGTGCTTGCGGATGCATAAACATAAGAAAAGAATAATTTAAACCGCACCTTACCTTACTGTACACTTAAAACGTCTATTTGTATACAATCTGAATCGGACGTCTATTTATATACAATCTGAATCGGATTGGACGACCTTATGCCGAGCCCAATTGAATCTTTGCAGGGCACGGGTCTTGTTTGTTGGCCCGTTTCTACACACCCTTCTTCATTCAATAGCAATAGGTAAGAAGAGGTATTCGCAAAGCAATACAAACACAGCTGATGAGAGTGAGTTGAGAGCGAGTTCACCGCCAACTCAAATGTTGAGAACCATCTCAGCTCACATTCGAGCTCCTCTCAGATCTCTCCCTCAAACCCTAACCTACTTGCCCCAACCCTCCTTCTCTTCAACCCCATTTACAACTCACTCACCATTCAAACTTCCCATCGACCCATCACACTCATCATCATCAACAACCCCTTCATTCCCCTCAATTTCAACTCTCTCTCTCTCTTCGCCATTCTCGCATTCACCTCTGCTACAGAGGCATGAAGTTTCGCGCGCCGACGACTGCAACAACAGAGACCCCACTAGCCCTCCGAGGCTGTTCGTGGTCCAGCCGCGTCTTCGGCCTCAACCCTTCTTGCAGGCCAAGCTCGACGAAGCTCTTAGCCTCGCCAATTCGCTCGAAGAACAGCGCGATGGGTTCTTCGATACCGAACTTTGGGACAAAGAGTTGCCTCCGCATGTTGTTGTTCAAAACCCTGCTGCCCGATCGCGTCATTCAGGTTGGTTGGTCTTTTGTATTTGTCGGTTTGTGATTTGATTGGTTTTCTGGGTTTCGGTCATTGGAGGTAGAAGAACTTGATTTCTTCTGTTTTGGATGTTGGTATGTTTAGGCAATCATGATCATGTTCATGGCTTGAACTTGAATTGAGAGCTATAATATTATTATATGTTTGTTGAATAGTCATTAGTTTGCTTATAGTTTTTGACTTGATTAAATATGAAATGCAATCTTGAAGTTGTATGGCTTTATTTATGACATATAGTTTTATTTATTTTACTTGAAGAACTAAAATGCTGGAGAGATTGCTTTTAGTTTGTACAAGTTTCTGAATAATGGAAGGCAAATAAAAGCCAAATGGAGAGAGAAGTTAGAGGGGGGGGGTGTGGGGGGGGCGGAAGAAGAAAAAAGGACTTTTGGAGACTTGAAATACATTAAATGGGGTGCTACTAATTGGCTCTTTTTTCTCACTTGGTAATCTGAATTTATTCATAGTTGTTTCATGTTATATACGTATTATGTTAACTTATCTGTGTTTTTGTAATTTGGCAGACACATATTTTGGACCAGGGACAGTGGAAACGGTTAAGTGTCATCTAAATGCTGTGGAATCAAAGGCAAGGATCCATGTGTTTATTCCATATAATTGGTTGTTTTCTGTTTAGATTACACCATTTGTAGCCTGTTATTGTAGGCATTTAATCGTGAGCACATACTTTTAGCAGGGTGAAGTTGATGCTGTATTTGTGAATGCCATTCTTACTGGGATTCAACAACGGAATTTGGAGGCAAGTTGCACCTGTGCAATCTCTTGCAGAAAGCTTTACTGCTTTGTTATCTTTCTTAAGATATGATCTGATCTGATCATTGTTTTGATATTCCAACATTCGTTCTGACTGACAGCGGAAATGGGGAAAACCTGTTTTGGATCGTGTGGGCCTCATAATAGAAATATTTAATGCGCATGCCTATACAAAGGAAGGAAAGCTGCAGGTATTCTTCTGATTTTATTGAATATCTTGAATTTCTGTTTGTCTTGGTGTGACAATTTGATTCTGAATCTGTGGGCGCTTCTTTATTCCTTCTTCAATTTACAGGCTGAGTTAGCTGCTTTAATGTATAAGAGGACTAGGCTAGTCCGTGTACGTGGTCCTGATGGGCGCTATACTTTTGGTTCCACTGGAGAAGCTGAAGTTGTTAGTGCCCGAGGGTGGGTTTCTTTTTTCTTCTTTAATTTCCAACTACAATAATAATTTAATTGACATAACAATTAAAGTGCTTAACAATACTTCCTTGGAGAATACTAGAAGAGAAATGGGAAAGATGTTTCAATGATTTTTAGAATACACATGTCGAGCAAACAGTCACTCATGAATCCCTTACTCTTTCTGGTGGGATTTAGATAACTTGAATCCATGAATTACTGATCCAAGGTTTCTGGGATAGCACGATTATGTCTATTTGATTACACATGCTTGAAATTGTTACACTAAATAAAGTTTAGCATCTAGAGATAATTTTATATCTTCATTGATGTCCAAATACTTGTGCTTCATGCATGCTGCTAATTCACAGACTTTAGCTTTTTTATATAGACTATGATGGAGGTGGATACAAGCCATTTGAAAAATGCCGTATTTCATATACTAATTGCATTAAATGCAGGTTACAATAGCTTGATTACGTTATTGATGTGCGCATTCCATCTCTTCAACTTGTCCAGCGGCATTTGATGTTTTTTAAATTTTAATAAAAATATATTTTTAAGGGATAGGCATTATTGTCATGCACATAATGGTTTCTTGCATTCAACTTCTTACTCGACAAGTTGCTTGCAACCATATTGGCAACTATAGGTCTTTTCTTTGCAATGCAGCTTGGAGTCAGCCTTCAAATTTGCTTGTTTTATTCAAAATCTAAATGCAACTCCATCTAATCTTGTAGTGGCAAATTGGCAATAATTTACTCCGGCATGCAAAAATAACATAGAAGAATCTGGCATGGCCAGAATAATTGTCCCTGATTTTGAATCTGCTATCAAGTCTAGATGCATGCGGCATGACTGGTGGCTTAGTCCCCTGTTTTCTCCAATGTATTTTTTTTAATTGTGTTTTACTTCTGAACGAATTGACCAAGCCAGATAAAATATTCTTGCCCAAGATCTGGTCTGACTATGCAAATAGCTGTAGTGCCCTCCCTTGAACAATCCAAAGGTGGAGCATACCACTTTTTTTTTTTCCTTCTATATTTTCATGTCAATAGGGACATTGGAAAGTTCTATTATGCCTAGAAGTTGCTTTTTTTGGGTGAGGAATTTTTAGTTTCCAGTTGCTATTGTTTGGATATGAGTTATGTTGGCTACTTGGGTACATGCACCATTTCTCCTAAAAGATGAACTAAGATTGTCACATTCAGGATTATGTCGATGTAGATCTAGCCTCACATAAGCACCCTCCCCCACTTCTTTTTTCTTATAATATAGAGTTGTGGTGCATGTCTATGGGTGGGAGTTACTTGTGTATGCAAATGCATGTGCTTAAGTTAATTCAGCATCAGTTTCACTGGAACAATTTTGATATACATAGCTATCATTTGCAGGAGAGGAAGTGGAGGACGCGGTTTCATTAGTGGAGCTGGTGAAACTGAACTTCAGCTACAACGACGAAGGTTTGCTCCTTGACACGTGCTTAAAAGATTGTACAACTGATGCTTCAGTTATTATTGGCTCATTTGCTTACAGAATGATGTTTTATGTATCTATTTATTATTCTATGAATGATTGTATCGTGGCACCAGAAGACAACTCTACAAATTATTACAAATGTTTTACAGCTTTTTCCTAATTGAATTTCATGTCATTGGTACTTTGATATGGTTGACCCTAGATGCCATTACTTCTGATCAAATGATAACATAACAAAGGCTCATCATGCTTGATGAAATTTTAGGTTCAATTTAAGTAAAAGTAATTGCAAGGGATTTGGTTCTTGTCAATTTAAATTTTATGTCATCAAAATTTGAATAACTTACCCATTAGACTAAAATGGAAGTTCTATAGAACAGCTATTAGATCATCGATGTTGTATGGGGTAGAATGTTGGACAACTAAGAGACAGCATGTAGATAAGATGAGTGTTGCTGAGATGAAGATGTTAAGGTGGATGTGTGACAAGATTAGAAAAGACAGAGTTAGGAATGAGTATATTCGAGAATGGGTAGGAGCATTATTGATAGAAGATAAGTTGAGAGAGAATAGATTGAGATGGTTTGGTCATATACAACGGAGATCAACAGAGGCAGTAGTGAAGAGATGCGATACAGTGACGGTAGATGATAATGTTAGGGGAAGGGGTAGACCTAAATTGGCGTGGATTAATGTAGTAAATAGAGATATGAATCTTCTTAATTTGACTAACGAAATGACCTTGGATAGAGTCGAGTGGAGAAGAAGGATTCATGCAGCTGACCTCATTTCTTGGGACTTAAGGCTTGATTTGGTTTGGTTTGGTTTAAAATTTCAATAACGCAAATCATCATATAAGTTCTTGTTGGAATCCAATTGGAAAAAAGGAGACAGAGAACATTATCCAAGCTTGGATCTCATTGAGGGTTTTCGGAGGTGTAAGATTGAATACAAACATAACCTTTCCATTACTTTTATGAAGTGTCTGGTATAGACTTGATCCTCGTTCTCGTGCTTGGCAGCAGGGCTTTTATGTAAATGCCAATGATGAAACGGATCAATTCAAGATCAATCAGTTAAATTTCAAATCTGACTTAAAATATCTGATCCTTTTTGGATCAAAATGAAGGCCATGTAGATTCTTTCCAGCTACAGGCCTTTCACATAGTAGGTTTAGTCATGCCACACATTTTTAATGTGGTTAATTTGATCTTTTTATAGGATATGTAAAATATGTTGTGTTTCAAAATATAAGTTCTACAGATACAGATACAATATCTGCCCCAGATTCGGATTTAATTACATTTTAAATGTGAAGTTGGATTTGGATTTGGATTTGGACTTGGTTATCATCACTACATGTAATCAGGTCTGCATGAAGTTTAACCTGTTTCAATTTCAATCACAAATACGTGCATTATTGTGTGATGTATGTTATTCTAAGGCTAAAAGGCGCTTTCTTCTCTTGACGTGAGCGACATAATTGTCCACCCATCGTGTGTGAAGAAATGTATATTTACCGTTTCATTTTGTACCAAAAGAGGTTCTATCCCAGAATTATCTTTTATGAAGTGTGTTGTGAACACATTTGAGACTGAAAGTTGACTTTTCCCAAAGAGAATGCCTTTAAAAATGCATATATATTTTTTAGGGAGCTGCTATTCCCACTCTACTTTGCTCCAAATACACTCCCTTTTTTGTCCTTATTATACATAGTTACATTAATACCTTTTTACACTAAATACACTCCCAGGAAAAACTAAAATTCTAAGGGTATTAATATAACTATGTATAATAAGGACAAAGAAGGAAGTGTATGTTTAGCAAAGTGTAGTGGAAATAGCGACTCTTTTTTATTTTTATTTTTTTTATTAAAAAGAAAGAAGAATTTCAAGTATGCATATTTCTGTGATTAATGTATTCCCAATCTTCTTTACATGTGCTTGGGTATCATTGTATATTTGCACACGTGGCATATAAGTTCTGTATCACACTGCCATTTCATACTGTTTTAATAAGTTGTGAAAAATTAGCTACACATTCATATTCTGTTTATGAGTTACAGTTTGACTTCCATGCATGCATGTTTGCTTTAATAACATTATAACTTCAGAATTTTAGAACGGCGAAAACAGTTATTATCTGAAATACAAGAGGTCCGCCGTACCCGAGCTTTGCAACGTGCTGCTCGCAAGAGGCATGGAGGTGACAATGGTCAAGACATGGTTACAGTTGCTGTCGTTGGGTACACAAATGCTGTAGGTGGTTAAAAATCAAATAAATTACTTTTTTATTATCTACCATACAAGTGGCCTAATGTATTTTGTATGTATACCTATATTGTCCTTTTGCTTTCTTTTTCAGGGGAAATCAACATTAGTTAGTACACTCTCAAACAGCGATTTGTATAGTGATGATCGGTATGTCACAATAGTTATCCACACTAGTCCTCTCTCTCCCTCTCTACATGCTTGATTGGTTCAAATCTAACACATTTATTTATTTCTGGCTAATTGTTGTGTTGCCATGGAATTTCTACTTTGCAGATTGTTTGCTACAGTTGATCCAAAATTAAGAAGTGTTATTCTTCCATCGGGGTAATATGATCAGTATTGAGGTTTAGTTTGTTGTGTTTGAAATCTGAAGAAATGATTTCCTGTTTAACTATATATATAATATGATGATAACCCTCAAGGGGTTGGCCTGGTGGCAAGGCCTTGGGTCTTAGTTGTGTGTTCCCTCCAAAGTTCAAGGATTGAAAACTCTTAGGTGCTAATAATTTCTTAGGGCCATCGGACTGAGAAAAAATCTTTGAATTAACCATGGTACACTTGCAGGAAACTCTTTGCTGAGGGCTTGTGCACCCTTAGAGATTAGTTGGGCTTTGATCCAGACACAAAAAACACTATATAATATGATGAAGATGACTGGTGAGTAAAACCTTCCCGCAGTTGTCTCATTAAAATTCTTAATTTTTTCAGGAGAAAAGTGCTTTTTAGTGATACAGTGGGGTTTATTTCAGATTTGCCTGTGCAGGTAACTAAAAAGTTTATGCTGCTACTTGGTTCTTTCAGTAATCATTGTTACTATTCTTTTTAATGTGCACTAGTATTCAACGGTCCGACATGACCCCATAAACTGTCTTCTACAACGGTCCGACATGACCCCATAAACTGTCTTCTACATCGGTATGACACCACCATACAGTGTCTTCTACAACGTTATGACACCACCATACAGTGTCCTCTACAACGTTATGACACCCCCATACAGTGTCCTCTACCCCGTTATGACACCACATTTCAGTGTCTTCACCAACGGTCTGACACGACCATACAGTGTCTCCTATCTTTTTTTATTTTATTTTTATGTATTTTCTTGTTTTGTTCCTCTCTTCAAACTCAAGTTTGCAGGAAACTCTTTGCTGAGGGCTTGTGCACCCTTAGAGATTAGTTGGGCTTTGATCCAGACACAAAAAACACTATATAATATGATGAAGATGACTGGTGAGTAAAACCTTCCCGCAGTTGTCTCATTAAAATTCTTAATTTTTTCAGGAGAAAAGTGCTTTTTAGTGATACAGTGGGGTTTATTTCAGATTTGCCTGTGCAGGTAACTAAAAAGTTTATGCTGCTACTTGGTTCTTTCAGTAATCATTGTTACTATTCTTTTTAATGTGCACTAGTATTTTATTTTTGTAGTTGGTGGAAGCATTTCATGCAACCTTGGAAGAAGTGGTGGAAGCTGACCTCCTTGTGGTATGAATTGATTATACGATTTCCTGTCTTTTTCTGGCTGTTGGTATTAAAGATTTTGCCTGTTGGGAAAAAATGGCTGAAATATTATCAGATAAGATCAGTTGCAATTCATATGATATTTTGCTGTGTCTGTCGTTCACATCAATTCATGTCATGCTGTCACGGTCATCTTTGGAATATGTATATCAGTTGGCAACCAAGCAGGTTTCATTGTAAGCTATGATAGCTTTATTCCTTACATTTGCAGCATGTATTGGACTCCAGTGCACCTAATCTTGATGAGCATCGGGAAACTGTATTGCAAGTTCTTAAGCAGATTGGAGTATCTGACGAGAAACTTCAGAATATGATTGAAGTTTGGAATAAGGTACCATTCTTGACTCTCTCTGTCTCTCTCTCTCTCTCACACACACACACACACACAGAAATAAAAAAAACCCCCCAAAAAAAAATGAAAAGAAATAAATTGCAACATCTTCTAAATTGTGACACTCAAATCAGATAGATCTCCAAGAAGAGATGGGTGCTGATGATGATGAAATCAGCAGTTTCTCTGGTGTAGAAGAAGTCAATGATGTAGAAGAATATAAGCTATCGTCTGGAGAACCCATTGATGATTGTGATGACAATAGCAAAGAGATTGTATCTGAGTTGTCATTAGGAGGTCATGAGGAGAGCATTGATGACCAACAAAGCGATTACTCTGATGGCTGGCTCTTATCAGGAGATGAGAGAGAGACTTCAAATGAGAAGATGGGATGGGAAAAAACTCCCAATGACCAACATACTATGTTGTGTGAAGACTGGAGGAAGACTGAACAAAATTCGCATTCTCAATCGCAATATGGTCCACATGTCAAAGTATCTGCTGTAATGGGAGTTGGGTTGCAAGAGTTGCTAGAGCTCATTGATGCAAAGCTAAAGTCTCAGAATGTAGTGGAGAAGAATATAGTTGATCGCAAATGGAGGCCTCCTCGTACAGAGGATGTAGGCATAGCAGTTGAACAGTAGTTTTACTTCTATTCTCTTTCATGCATTGGTTTGTATAGCGTGTTTGAAGGCATACTGCGAAAATAATCAACAATGTAAAGCAGCTCTCTGCCTCGGTCTCAACTTTGTTGCCAGGTAGTGCCTGCTCTGGAAGTTGGAAAGCAGAAAGTTTCTTGAAGGAGCATAAAAACTTGTAATCTCAGAAGTGAGCATATCAATTTTCTCATTTGTTGATTCAGTATTCACAGAATTTTTGTTTCCAAGAGGAAATGAATAGTGAATAATGAACATCATCTAGAAACAGAATTTTTATGTCGCATACAAACAGAATTGTAATATTTTAATGACTGAGAGAGAGAATTAGAATTTTATAGTATCAGGTCAGCATACTAAAATATTGGTATAATACGCAATGCCAGAGAGAAGTGACTGGGAAGAGTGTCCCCTTATCATTTGCTTTTGTTCAGCAGTGTGCCATTTATCATTATGTTTGACTCGGTTCTAAAGTTAAACCAAAATCCAAATTTGTTTTTACTGTTTTGTTGATTTTTTTAAACACCCTTATTTATTATTTATTGCAAGTCATGTATGTTTGCTACAACATATTTTAAATTGAAATTGAAATTTATAATCAAAATTTTGAAGGGATAGGTTATTACGTATACTTTTTATACAAAAAATATAATTTTTATCATTAAATGTATAATTTTGGATAAATTATACTTTGCATCTCTATATTTTGTATCAAATCTTATTTTAGTCCATACACATGGAATTATGATAGTCAACTTGTTGCACTTCTGGTCAAATTCTATTTTGGTCTCAGCACATAAAATTGTGACAATCAACCTCTGCATATTTGGTCAAATTTTACATTGGTCTCTATATAAGTGTCAATATCTCTTTTCTGTTACTTAATTGTTTAAATATTTAACAGAATTTAGTTATATAACAAGAATGTGACTACGACAAGAGGTAATAAAGAAAAAACATCTATATTTTTCAACAATACACACTTTATTTCAAAATTTACATCAAAATATGACTGTATTAGGCCAAAACAAAATGCAGATTGCAAACAATTAAGAAGATGAATTACGATTTAGCATAAATTGAAATCACGAAACTTTGTTTTTACGGTATATAGTCTTCAATCTATTTATCTTTCTTTCTCTTTGATTTTTTTGTCGCATTTTTTTTATTATTTCAAAAGTTCTACTTTCTTACATTTTCGTCCCAATTTTTACCACACGAACATGCACACACACACACACACACATATATATATATTGTATTATATAACTCTTATGTGCTTATTATGTAGAACAAAGAGTATTAGTGGAAAACATGGCTGATTTTTCTCTTTTACCTTCATTTTGTAGTCACATTTTTATCACATGATTGAATTTTGTTAAAGATTTAAAAATGAAATAACAGAAAAGAGACATAGACACTTGTGTAGGGATTAAAGTGAGATTTGAGTAAAAATGCAGGGGTGACTATTATGATTTCATGTGTAGGGATTAAAGTGAGATTTGACTAGAAATGCAGCAGGTTGATTGTCATGATTTCATGTGTAGAGGCCAAAATAAAATTTAGTGCAAAATACAGAAATGCAAAGTGTAATTTACCCTAAAAGTTTTTACTCCTCACAAATAATATAATCATGATTTTTTCATTCATAACTTTAAAGAAAAATCATTATTATTTTTTTAATGTATTTTTTTTTTCAATTTTGAAAGTACCCATTCGTAAACCTTTTAAATAATTAACATTTTTTAAGCTTGTTTATGAATAACTATTTTTAATTTATTAAATTATTTAAAAATCATAATAAGTTCAATAAATCACTCCCAAAAATAACATTCCATATATACCCTTAAAAGCTGCGGCACTATGTAGTTTTAATTTTAACTAACTAACTATTAGTATATATATTATTAGCAGTTGTTAACAACTTGGGCACTGCAAAGCGCGTAATGCGCTGCCTGATAGTATAATCACAAATAATCACAATTTATAAGACAGCTCTCTCTTCTCTCTTCTCTCTTCAACTGTGCAGGAACAGAACAAACAAACACCATTCCATCCATAGCAGATCTCAGATCCAGAGTCCCAACTCATTCCAGATCTCCGAATGTTGGATCGTTGCTCTCAAGGTTACTTTCTCTCTCTCTCTCTCTCTCTCACCCATTATTCATTCTCACTCAATCATAATTCCCTTGTTCTGTTTTTGGTTGAGTTTTTCTGGATTGGTTTTCGTAATTAGCCACATTGATTGCGTTTTATGTTTTTTTATGGCTTGTTCTTTAATCTTTCTTTAATCTTACGCATTTGCTCATATGCCAACAATCTGTGGAAGGCTTTTTCAGATCTGGGTTCGATTCATTGTATATGTTCCCACATTTTCCTGACTTTTTGTTGTCAGAAGATTTCCTATAGATGCTTGTTTCAAATTCATATGATTGTGGATGTATCTGCGTTGATACTGTTGACCCACCAGCTTAAATATGACTAAAAATTGAATCTTTATCACTTCAACATTCTGTAACCAAGCTCCCCTGTTTTCACTGTGTTTTCACTATGTTTTCATTGTAGTTCATTGCTACCATTCAATGCTTTCTATTTCATTGTTTGTTTGTCTTCCAAGGTGTTGTCTTTCAATTCCCCACCAATGGAAACTCCGCATTTTCATGTGAACTGTAAAAATATCTTTTTGGTGATTTATTGATGACTTGTTAGTTGTTTGTAACTTAAAAGACTATTTTTGCTTCACAATTGGGTTTTTAATCAGAAAAATCATTGAGCTTCTCTATCCATATAGGCTTTTGTCAGCAGCAGCTAATCTTACAATGATTTTATTTTCTTTTGTACCAGTGTAAAAAGATCTTGTAGATACACTGTTCTTTACACTAATAGTTATGTCAAGGAGGCAAACAAATCCATCGCGGCGCTTAGCAGGCAGTGGTCCATTTGGGGGTATTTTTCATCCCAAATCACGCGTTTCTCCTTTGTTATCTGTTGTCCTCATCATAGTGGTACTTTTCATATTCACTGATCATCTTCCTTATTACTTACTTTTATTTTTGTCTTTGTATTTTATAAGGACTTCTTGTTTTGTCAATAGTTATAATTATCTGAGACCAGCAATGTGCCCCCTTTGTTACATATCTTATAGACTTCCCAGTTTCTAAAGACCACACAACATGCTGCAAGTTTCGTGTCAAGGTTATAACTGTTTTTTTTCCTTTCTGAAACTTGCAGGGCGTAGTGCTCTTAATAGGCCTTTTTCGCGGAGGCTCAGGTACCTGTTGGATTTGCCTTAAAACCTTTTCTTCTTCCTCTTATTTTTTCTTGGAATGTTGAAAACCTCTTTATTATTACTTATTACCTTCTTATATTTGGGTTTGTTCGCTGATGTCTCAATTCTTGGCATACTTGCTTTCTAATATCAAGGCATTTAGCATTTTTTCTTCTCATGCATCAACTGAACTGTTGTTTCTCATAATCTAGGTATATTTGCAGGCAACAAAGAAGCAATTAGTAAGGTTGAAGGTAAACATCTCAGTTGTTTCTTATTTACTTTTTTATTTTTATTTTTTGTGGCTTAAGTTTTATTACATGAACAAAAGGTCATAGTTTAGCAGTTATGCAACATTGGAGGGCGATTACAACTAACTACATGTACTTTAAGGTGGGATTTGGAAAGGGAAAGAAGAGAATAGGTGAGGACAATGTGAATGGAATAGAAGCTAAATTTTGTCTCCAATTCCCTTTTCAAATCTCTATCCAAATTCATGATTCAAACACAGTGTAAGTGAATCTCTTATTTAATAAACATCATTTGGCCATCGTTGTTCCCGTCTGGTTTCCTGAGTCTAGTCTTCAAAGCCTTGCGTTCATTCTTAGCCCTTCAAATATTATTGCACTTACAAAGATGACAAGCCTTATTGAACTCATCAATATTTGTTTATAACACTCTAATTGTTCTGTGTCTATATTTACAATGACTTTAAAAAACCATGGAAGGAACATAATGTAACTATTCTCACCCTTGAGCATGGTTTGAAGAAAGATTACAAAGAATGGTATTAATGGAACTTCAAATTGTTATTCACGATCACTTTCTGTACCATCATGTGCTCGACAAGGTATCGTTATTGAGTTACCCCAAAAAGTTAGGTGGACAGAATTTTTTTCAACCCCGTACTTGTGAGGATCAATGCTTTTAATCTCAACATGTTTTAGAAAACATGAGATATATTTCAATTTTGAGCCATTTTTAGATTTTGATCAATTCCTTTAAAAATAATATTTCCTTACTGGAGAAATATTAACTCTGTAGCTGAAATGGGATGTTTGTTCCGTTTCCATTAAAAAATCATTATTGAAGTAATGGCCAAAACTGAGGTGTAAATTTCTAGAAATAAAGTGCCAGTAAATGCAGTTTCATTTCAATAATTTGGCGCAGTTTATCCTGACTAATGGCTTAATTAATCACTATATCTAGGTGACTATTCTTGTACATTAGAAGTTCACAGGGCAATACCTATTTTAAAGAAAGCATATGGTGACAACATGCGCAAAGTCCTTCATGTGGGCCCCGATACTTGTTCTGTGGTCTCTAAATTGTTAAGAGAGGAGGAAACTGAAGCATGGGGCGTCGAACCATATGAAATAGAGGATGCTGGGAGCTGCAAATCTCTTGTACACAAAGGCATTGTACGTGAGGCTGACATCAAGTTTCCTCTTCAGTATAGGCCAAAGTCATTTTCTCTTGTTATTGTGTCCGATGCATTGGAGTACCTCTCACCAAAGTACCTAAACAAGACCCTTCCAGATTTGGCAAGAGTGTCTGCTGATGGGCTTGTTATTTTCACAGGTAATTTACTTGTTGCAATTGTTTGTTAATTCATTAATACATATTGTTGTATCAGGTTGGTAATGGTCTTTTATTTGATTGGTAAGATGTATCTAGAAATTAGGTATCTTTATGGAAGAGGATTATGATTTGCTACAAAATGAATTTAGTGGAAGAGGATTAGCTATTGTGCAATGCTAGGGACCTAGAAAAATACGCAGAAGTATTGTGTGGTTGTGATTCATTCCAAGTGTGGGTCTCACTGTACAAAAATTGATTCTGGACCACACATCACTTTTCTGGGTAAATTTTTGACAAATTTTCTGGGTTCCTATCTTTTCTGTTAGCTATTATCTTCCCCTTCATTCTCCCCTCCATTCTTCCCCGCAAAGACACACATCAGCTTGGTCTGCAATTTGAGCTGAGGCAAATAAAGTGGCTGATAAATTTCTGTTGGAATTGCCCTTGGAATTTTCAATAATAGATTCTAGGTTGAGGAATCATGGTATTTGCTCATGCTGTTATGCATATAGGTGTATGATGTGTCTCTTCCAGGTTCTGTTAGTCCAGGACTATCTCAACAATGCTCTGGCTCAATTTTATCTGTAGTTTTCTAGTGCTACAATTTGATTGAAAAATTCACTGCTTTCCAATTTCATCTTTAGGTTATCCTGGTAAACAGAGAGCTAAAGTTGCAGAGTTATCCAAATTTGGACGTCCGGTAAGTGAATATCTGCTAGTACTTCATCTTTTACAAACATAACCTGGATCTGAAATAGACCATGATTTAATGAATACTACATCCATATTTCTCATTTTCTCGGGTTTCAATACGTCCATGTTTCTCCAGACATACTAATGGATCAATATAATTTACTAAAAAATAGTTTTGATGCTACCTAATCAGTTTGCTGCTGAATTATATATATCCTAACTTGAAAACTCTCTCATTTGTTTTTCAAAATATACATCAAATTATTATTATTATTTGGATCTATCTATAAATGATGGTGTCGTGTACAACAATTTTTAGTAAAAGAAATTGACAGCTTTTAATTCTTCACTTTTGAAGGCCAAAATGAGGAGCTCGTCTTGGTGGATACGTTTCTTTGGCCAAATCAGCCTAGAAGTGAATGAAGCTGCTGCTAAGAAGTTTGAACAAGCTGCAATCAAGCTGTCATACAAGCCGAGCTGCCAAGTGTTCCATCTCCGTTCATATCATTGATATATAGTTTGATGATATCTTCATAATTTTGTAAGCTTCTGAAGCATCAAATTTTCAGAAAGTGTTTTTTTCAATTTTCATATGAAATGTGCTCTACATGGGGATAATCCAATATGGTAGAAGGGATGTTGATCATACACCATTGCATGTTTTGTCCTTCAGCATTATACAGTCAATTTACTAAAAAAAATTTCAGCCTGAACTGCTATCATTTTTCGTTATTTTTTCATCACTTATATATGATTAAAGAGTGTCCAAATGAAACTCTGATGTGGATCGAATGGATACAATATTGGCAGAAAAGAACTGCATGGAATTGCTGGTAAAGAACTAAAACTATCAAAGCACAAGGTCTCAATTGATATTTTCTTGAGAATTGGCTTTACATTCTGATGAATAACAAGGAAAAAATTTCTCAGTACAACGATATTTGAACTTCCCAAATTAGGGCCCAATTTTTTTCAACAATTCCCTATAAGCCAATATAGCTTCAATTCTGATTCTCAAAAAGATTAAGCAAATTAATACAAGAACATTTTTAACCCAATCTGCTAACAATTGACCAATCTAGCGTCAACTGAGTTTTCCAGTTGATGTCATGGCCTAATAAATTTAGGTTTGCTTGATTTATCACCAATAATCCCCACAAGAACAGTGTCCATCCTTGAAGCAATGAAACCTGTGGGCATCTCTCACAGTGATCTCTCTCCCTGTGATTGCAGATATAAATTTAATTGCATTGTGACAATCCCCACATATCCTGAGATTCTTCACCACTAGTATAGGCTCCCCATCTTTAGTCGAGATCAGCCCAAACGCAACCGCTAGTTTCTCACTATGATGTCCCAGCCTTAACTCCTTTTCACGTGCCCTAGTTCCATCATCCCTAACCAAAACCCATCTCACATCAGGCACATACCCTGCTAGTGTCATCTTCTTTGACATCTCCTGCAAGAAGTCATAAATTTCCTTTATCAGCGGGTGTGAACTATCCTCAGCCACAAACACGTGTATCCTCTTGTTCACCTCAATCCAGCTACAACCGGGTTTCTTTTTCACTCCCTTGTCTCGCATTAGTTTTCTCACTGTCGCTACCTCTTCCCATCTGCCTGCACTGGCATACATATTTGCAAGTATGACATACGGAGCAGCATTTGAAGGTTCAAGTCGAAGACATTCGTTGGCTGCTTTAATTGCTAGCTCTATGTTTCCATGTATTCTACAAGCACCAAGAAATGCCGCCCAACCAATGGAGCCGGGATTGTATGGCATTGACTTAATGAGCCTCTCTGCTTCCTCAAGTTTACCTGCTCGACCCAAAAGGTCAATCATGCACGAGTAGTGTTCCGCTTCTGGTTCAATCCCGAATTTCTCATTCATCATATTGAAATATTTTTGCCCTTCTTCAACTTTTCCAGTGTGTGCACATGCAGAAAGGACGGAGATAAAGGTTATACTGGTAGGGGTAGTATCTATTTCTAGCATACGCTCAAAGAGGACTATTGACTCAGTCCCTCTACCATGTTGTGCATAACCTGCAATCATTGAATTTAAAGAAACCGTGTTATGCTCTGGCATCCCATCAAATAACCTTCTGGCGTCGTGAAGATTCCCACATTTTGAGTACATTGCAACGAGGGCATTATTCACAGAAATTTGATTTGATGGAATATCAGATTTAAGCGCCAAAGAGTGAATCTGTTTTCCTTGCGATGGAGATGACAAATTAGAGCACGCACTTATCACACACACAAAGCTTCCATCATCAGGACGGTGACCAGCGCGCTGCATCTGCCGGAAACAACCAAGTGCGTCTTCGGACAACTCCATATTTTGAGAGTACCCAGAAATCATTGTGTTCCAGAGAACCAAGTCTGGCTCTGGAATTTCTTCAAACACTTTCTTACAACCTAACATACCACCTCGATGACATTTCGAATACAAATCAACCAAACCACTGCCAACATGAGGGTTCTGATGGAACCCTGTTTTAATCAAATGAGCATGAAATTGACGCCCGCCTGACAAATCCTCCAAGCACGTAAATGCAGTCAAAACGCTAGCCAAAGTGAACATGTCGATTCTCAAATCCCTATGTACCATTTCCTGATACAAAACCAGTGCTTTATATCCTTCATGGTGCTGCCCATAAGCCACTATCATAGAATTCCACGTAACCTCATCTCTAATCTCATCAATCCCGTAAAAAATTCTCTTCGCCTCATCTAAATACCCATTCTTGCTATAATACGTGATAAGGGTATTGTTGACCGAAACATAAGAATCAAACCCACCCACCAAAACCAACGAATGCAATTGTCTAATCAACGCAACATCATTGCAAGAAGCAGTGATGACCCCAGAAAAAGTAAACCCATCCATGTCAATACCCATCTGTCTCATCCCCATAAACAACCCAACAGCAGGGGCAGTATCGCCGTGGTCGGCGTAGGCAGAGATGAGGGTGTTGTAAGAGACGAGGTCTGGTTGGGGAATTTGGTCGAACAGTTGGTGGGCAATGTGGGGCAGAGATTCTTTGGCATAGGCGGAGATGATGGCGTTGAAGGAGAAGACATTGGGGAAGGGGGTGGCGGAGAAGGCGTTGCGAGCGGCGGAGAGGCGGCGGCACTTGGAGTAGAGGAGGATGAAGTGGTTGGAGAGGTAGGTGGAGGGTGGGATGAGAGATTTGATGTATAGGGTTTGGATTGATTTGCCTGTTAAGAGGTCTCTCTGTGCTATGCATGTTTTCAAAATTTGGCGCAAGTGTTGGAAGCTGGACCATGAGATTTGGCTCATCTAATAATAACCCACTAAAACCATACTATTCTATGTTGTCTTATCTTATCCGATACTCACACGACTTGTGGAGTTATTTAGATTTGGCTGACTTGAATTGATTCACTTCCTATGTATCACAACTTCTCTTACCAAATACTCAAAACTAAAATCATGGAGAAAAGGGTAACTCCTTTAAAAATTCTCTTAAAAAAAATCAAATCAAAAATCAAATCAAAAATAATTACGAGTTCAAAAATCAAGCAAGATAAATGATATACTATGTACTTTTTTGGCAACTTAGTAAAAAGTTACTACCAACTTAGTAAAAAGTTACTATTATAGCTTATTTGCTAAAAAAGTTAACTTTACTTTTTTAAGTAAAGAGTCATTTAGCAAGTTACATATAAAATTACAATTATATCCTTTATGTTTTTTTATATTTATATGAGAGAATATAAATTTTTTACATTGAGTAGGAGTAGTTTAATCATTTTATTGTGATGTGACATTATAAATAAATATTAATAAAAAAAAGTCAAAGCAACTTTTTACTAACTTTCCAAATCAATTTTCTAAAAAAAGTCAAAAGTTAACTTTTAATCATCTTTTCAAAATAATCCTAAATATTTAAAAAAAAAAATAAAAATAGAGACAGAAACTAAATTATCAACTCTTTTTTTAGTACATGGAAAACAACAAGAGAACAAAGAATAAAAGATAGAAGAGAAGATGGAGAGGATAGGATATAGTATCTTCTATCAGTCTCTAAGATATCCTTGCCCCACCATATCCGTCGCTACTCGGCTGCAAGTTTCATTTGGGGCTCCTCCATAACTACCAAAACCTCATCTTGATCTGCACCTATCTTGGCCAACACTTTTATTGTCTTTTCTCAGAACATGTTGTATCGTGTAGCTACATCTCCGCATGAGAAATTTTGAATCCTTTACCAAGCTATGCAATAGGAATACTATCTCAGTTCCCTCCTTCAACATGTCTATAGCCGATGTAGAGTTTGTCTCAATTATAAAATCTTTTTAACCTTTTTCAAAAATAATTGTCAATTATCAAATACTAATCAACTTTTTGGTTAAAAGCGGCTTATAAACAGTTTTTTTGCGAGAGAGAAAATGAGTTATAATTTGAAAAATAAATTATAACCTACTTTCTAAAATGGGCAAATTGTGATTAGTAAAATAGTTGAGAGTTTAGTTTTGCAATGATGTGGTCTGACCAAACAGGTCCAGAACGACGATGGGCCGACTAATAGATAAAACAAGGGCTCGTAGTCCTGTGTTAGTTTTCTTTTCCTTGGATTTTTATTTATTTTTTCAAAATGTTGAAAACGAAGATTAACATAGGAAAATAGGCCCAAAGAGAATTCTAAGAAAATCTTTATGGGGAAAGGTTGGCAAGGCCCATCACAGTTTTCAGAAATCCCCAATACAGGTCAGTAATGTTCCACACTTGAAGCTCATTGAAATTCCACACCACAACAAAACTATAAAAGAATATTTAAAATCCATACCCAGACTCCAAAAATAAAAAACAAAGCAATTCTTGAAAAAAAAAAAAAATCAAATAAAACTAAAATTCCAGATATTTGCCAGACCAATTCCCCTACCACACCCACCCAAAAAAGTAAAAATGGTTGGAAAAAATAATTTTATGGTGACTTTAATATAAAATTAAAGGATTCTAATCACCGGTTGAGACGATATCAAATGGATTTAAATTCTTTGTAACAAGATTTTTACACTACAAAAATAATGATAAAAAATATTAAGAATTGAATGATAAATTATCTTATAAAATTGGTTTTATGAATGAAGTATTAAGAAGTATGTATAACTACTAATCCCACATTGATTGTAGAGGAAAGTTTTGATGGGTATTTAAATTTTAAGATTTTGATAAGGATATTAGCCCTTTGGGACATCCAAATTTTCCGAAAGAAGGGAGCTATGAATGCTGTGAGGATGGACTTGGATCAAAACTATAGTTCAAATTGATTATGCAAAAATTGTCACGCGTGCATGCGCCGCCTGCCCAGATTGGACCGGATTAGTCCAGGTCCGTAGATCTTGAGGCTTGAGGAATAGGTTAGGTTTGGGCTGGGTTGGGCCGGATTGGTGGTCCAACTAAATTTTTCGATAAAAGAAAGTTATGGATGTTTAAAGGATGGGTTGGGGCCAAAACTAAAGTCCAAGTTGGTTATGCAAAAATTGCTACGTGTGCATGCACCACCCGTCCGAACAAGACCAGTCCAGGTCTGTAGATCTTGAGGCTTGAGAAATGGGTTTGGGCTGGGTTGGGCCGGGCCGGATTGGTGGCTTATCAACCTAATTTTTTTGGGCTAGGTCTGTTATATGTATATAGAGTGGTAACTCACACACTTATTCCCCATCCTTTTTTCTGTATTACTTCTTCAGTTTTACAGAAATTGAATTCTACATTTGTTGTAGAAAAACTCCTCCTCTCTCTCCCATTGTATATAAAAGGAGACCTCCTCTTTGGTCTTAGACATAGAATTTTTGACTTCCATATACAGGTAGTCTGCTCCTATATTCTTCTTCCTGTGTAAGAAAATGTTGCCATTTATCGGTTCGTCGGAGCTAAACAAAAAGTAGTTTTGCGTTAGCGGGTTTATACCGTCATATCTTAGGAGATAGACGCCGATATACCTCAAGCACTCATAGTGAGGCTGCAAATTTGTTTAAGGAGACTGTAGTATCACACAAGTTTTGATTTGCTTTCTTTTACCATTTTATTTTGTTGAGTATTTTTGTTCATCAAGTTATATATTTTAGTCCTATGATTTCATGTTCTGTAATTTAATTTATTAAATATGAATCTGTTTGTTTTATTTAGTTACGCAATTTGTACAATAAAAGCACACTTCCATATTAGAAAAAGAAATCCTAAAAAATTGTAGGTGGCATTTGGGGGTTGAAATCATATTTAGTAAACATTTATAGTTTCTTTTCTTATTTAAATTCTGGTGATGACAATGTGATTACGAAGACGTTTTTAATAAAAAGCAGTGCTAACAAATTTTTTTTTTTGGGGTGTAATTCGACTATTAACAGATTTCTACTAGATAGGATGAGCGTAGTCATGTCATAGCTACAGCTTGTATAGCGAGAACCACTAAAAAGACGCTTTGTGGGGTATCATAACATTTGGGGGTTTTGATTTCGGCATAATAGATTGTCGGTCAGATTTAACCCAATTCAGAGGAAGGGAACCATCACTGAGGCACCCAATAGATCTCATCACGCGCCACAAAAGAGGCCAAGTTTCGATCGAAGTACAACACAAAGTCTCCGAAGAAAGAACGTGCTCCTCAGGATTCGAATCTGACTTACCCCTGTGGAAGAGCAATGCGTTGTCCACGAGACCATTACCCCCCCCACCCATTGGTTACAGCTTGTGTAGCTTAATTAGATAAATTAGTACCATTTAATTTAATTTAATTTATTTTTTTCAGAATGCCTCCTGAGGTGAAGCCTAGAGGATGTCCTGTGTTTTGGGGTCTGGGTTTCACTAGCAATCTTAGGGCACATGGATGACATATATATATGTTTCCATTTCAGACCCATCAAGCTTGGCATTGCCCAAACATCATCAAGTCTAATCACACAATTGCAGGCCCAAAACAAGATGTTATGTACCTAGGACACAAGGTTGGCAAATATTGCTTAAATAATGGCATATCCTTTCCTCCACTAATTTCTTCTGGTCTGTTTCTGATGCATATAGAAAACCGTATATCATAACTTTTATGCACAAGTATTGTACACATAAACATATACACCAGTGGCTAAAATTGTCATGCGTGAATAGTTGAGTCATAATTAAGGCGCCGTTTGTTTTGAGAGATAGAGATAAAGATATGAATGAGATTGAGATGGAGGTGAGATCTTTGGAGAGATAGAGAGGGGATTCATAATCTCATAGGATTAAGATGGGCTTTGGTGTTGGGATTGAAATGGAGGAGATGGAGGTGGTATTAGGAAATTAGTCCTCTGGCTTAGGTTTTTTTTTTTTTTTTTTTTTATTTAACATGGTGGGCATTTTTTTTAACATTAATGTTTAATGTTTTTGTATTTTTTGTTAAGTAAAAATCATAATTTTATTTGTTTTAATATTTTATATTTCTTTTATAGGGTAATAATTTAATAATCCCCACACTAACAACTATTATTAAAACAAACACAATTTTATTTAATCCCCCCACTATCAATCCCCTTACTAACAATTTCCTTGTTATCAATTCCTTACATTTTACCTCTGAAAACAAATGAGGCTTAAAATTGAAGAATGTGATTATTCAAAATTCAGTAATGATACAAACCTGGGCTCAAAATTTTTTTACAAAAAACATTTAGAATATTGCAATGTGCGCAATGACAATAATGTATGTGTCTTGGTAAAATGTGGGTCTCATCCGAATGAATTCAATGCCGCCAACCTAACATTTTGAACACTTTTCTTATTTTTTTAAAATATTCGATTAGATATTTGGAGGGTAAGAATTTCCAAGTTGATGTTTTTCTTTTTATAAGCTAAAAAAAGTTTCATTGTTGCATCAAACTATAACAACACAGCGAGAAGAGATAAATAATAAATGGGGCTTCCCTCGAATGGTCATGCGAATAACTCTTATGAGTAAATCATCAATGCAAAATATTAAATTAATTAAATATCAATAATTACATATTTAGATTGGCAAATATGATTTGGGGAATTAATAGATCATTTATTTATTTTTTTAAAGACAAATCTAATCCAAACATGTGATTACTGATACCTAATTAACCTATTTTTTGTATGAATGATTTACTTAGAAGACATTAAAAATTAAACGGTTTAGCTGACCGAATTAGACCTGAGATGGGCCACAAATCCCACAGCTGCTTATTTCAACGATGAAGTGATTAAAATTCAACAATTGAGCTGAACTGGACAAACTGAAAGCATTGAAATGCATTCCACCTAAGAAAAAATGAAAAATCACTATCAAGCTTGGCTGGATGAGTCCCCATTAATGTTGCAACAAGCTAGGCAAAATGACCAAAAAATGGCTTGGTAGAGGACTTTGTGACTTGGACTGCACATAAAAATTATTGGAAACAGGCCCATTAGCTGGATGGTTGACATGTGAATGTGCTA